ATCCCCATACCTGTGGAACAGAGACAAACCATTCTGCTGTGCCTTCTACAAATTCCTGACGCAGCAAATTCCCAACCATACGAAATAGTTGTTTCACACTACAAAAATGGGGCAGTATGGGCAAAAAATCAGTAAGATTACAGAAGAAGTGATGCTGGAGGAAACTATTAGAAGCACCTTGGACTACCATATCAGAAAAACAAACAAATCCGTGTCGGAAGAAGTATAGCCACAATGCTACTCAGAAGCCAGGATGCTTGGACATATTATCAGGAGGGACCAGTCTCTGGAGAACATCCTGCTTGGTAAAGTGGAGGGTCAGCAATAAAGAGGCAGATCCTCAATGAGATGAACTGACAGTGGCAGCAGTAATGGGCTCAAACATAACAATGATTGTGAGCTTGGCACACGACCAGGCAATGCTTCATCCTGTTGTGCCTAAGGCCCGACTCAAGGGCACCTAACAATGAAGCACAGAGCAGCTGGACACCTCACCAAGAGTTCTCTCTGGCATAGCAGAGACAAGTAGGATGACATAGTCATTAGCAGCAAGCGTTCATATCCCGGCTCTACCACTTGTGTGGCCTGACAAAGCAAGGTGATTTTTACCCCAGCCTTTGTTTCCACATATGTAAAATGGGTTGGTAATATTTCTAAGTACTGGGTTGTTTTGAGGATTAGGTGAGCTGAACATCTTGAGTGCTTATCACCCTGCCTAGCCCACAAAAAGCATCATACAACCATAAGCTATTATTATCATTTCTCGTATTTGTATGAAGACCAGACTTCATATAATGACTTGACAACAGTGCGAGGCAACCCTGTCACTTCTAAAATACAACCACTGCTTAAAACCTTTCTGGGATTACCATTCCTTTTCACTTTACATGCCATATTAGAAAACCATGCTTGTATTTTTTTACCCAATTGAGATGCCCTCACTGAAAACCAGGCTCATTAATTTATATGTACACATTACCAATTTTATCATCTTTTTTACTCACTAGCAAAAAATCAAAATCCAACCCAAAATGGCAGAACAGAAGTGTTTGGGGTGGGGGGGTGGTATGGAGTCTTCCTCTTGTTCACTGACCCTCTACTTTACCAAGAATAATGTCCTTCTCCAGGGACCAGTTGCCTCCTGATAATATGTCTGAAGACAAAATCGGGCCATCCTGGCTTCCTAGGAACACTCTGGCCATACCTCAGAAGCAGAGACGGAAGATCCCAGGACCATCATGAAGAAAGAACATGATGCCTACCTAGAAATATAGAGACAGCAAAGGCAACGGCACAGAGACAGAGCAGTTGTGGGCTCTAGGCTCATGGACTGAGGCAGAGGCAAAGGGGCCACATGGCTAAGAGGCTGAAGACAAAAGTGAGGCGTGCCTACATGGCAGACAAAAGGCGTTCCTGACAGCTTTGTCCAGAGTTGGCTGTGGTCCTGAATGGTACCCTTTTCACTTCCCTAATAGACCCCGTAATTGTAAATATTGTTATGATTTCTGTGTGACCACTGCAATGGCTTACCGAACCCAGATGTGACGTAGAGAGTGATGGGGGAGGGATGGCTGGTGTCAGAACAGGGCAAAGGTTGTGTGGGCTGGAAGCATGTATGACATTCTCTTCATAGTAATTGGCTTTGGTTAATTTTAACTTTGATACTCTGCCCCCCAACCCTAGCCCCCAGTGAAGCCAGGGGAATCAGACATGGTCCTCACTGGTTTTTTCCACAGCCCTTGGCTGAAAGCAGAGAATATCAGAAGGATATTTACCTGTGCTTTATTGACTACGCGAAGGCTTTCGATTGTGTGGATCATGACAAGCTGTGGACAACATTGAGAAGTACGAATGTTCCAGAACACTTAATTGTACTTCTGAGAAATCTGTACCTAGACCAAGAATCAGTTGTTCATTCAGAGCATGGGAACACTGAATGTTTTAAAATTGGGAAAGGTGTGTGACAAGGTTGTGTTCTTTCACCATACTTATTCAACCTGTATGCTGAGCAAATAATACGAGAAGCTGGGTTCTATGAAGAAAAATGTGGCATCAGGATTGGAGGAATGCTCATTAACAACCTGCGATATGCCGATGATACAACCTTGCTTGCTGAAAGTGAAGAGGACGTGAAACATTTACTTATGAAGATCAAAGAGCACAGCCTTCGGTATGGATTGCATCTCAATGTCAAGAAAACAAAAATCCTCACCACTGGACCAATAAACAACATTCTTATCAATGGAGAAAAGATTGAAGTTGTCAAGGACTTCATTCTTCTGTTGATAGTTGTCGACTATCAACACTCGACCCCAAGGTTGGTTTGAAGCACAGGGCTGGCGGTTCAAACTCATCAGCTGAACCTTGTGAAACTGCAAGGTCGTGGTTCAAGCTCACCAGAAGCTCCTCGGAAACCCTATACAGGGTCGCTTTGGGTTGGAACTGACTCGACGGCACTTCACAACAACAGCAACCATAATTGTGCCGGATAGCCAAACTGAACAGAATGATGATGATTAACCAAATATCAACCAAGTTGTGTTTACTAGCTCATCTTGCAGCAGGCAACAATACTAACGAAGAGCACGCCCTAGACACACAATGAACTTGAACCTAACCCACAAGGCTCTGCAGACTGCAAATCCCACAGACAATAGAAGATGTGTAGTATTTAGAGGTTAAAGGGGCAGTCATGAGATTTTTGTTGTTGTAAAGTGCCACTGAGTTAGTTTGGACTAATAGAGGCCCTTTATAGGGTTTCCAAGGAGCAGCTAGTGCGTTTGAACCACCAACCTTGTGCCTAGCAGTTCAATGTTTATGAGTGTTTAGCAGTCATGAGACTGTTGCTGTAGTTGGTAAGTGCCATCAAGTTGGTTCTGACCCATAGCAACCTTGTAAAGGGTTTCCGAGGAGCGGCTGTGGTAAGATTGAACCGTTGACCTTGTGGTTTAAATTTACTTTGCAGCATGAGACTGTTGTTGTTGAGTGCCGTCGAGTCGGTTCCGACCCACAGCGACCCTGTATAGGGTTTCCAAGGAGCAGCTGGTGAGCTTGAACTGCCCACCTTGCAGTTGAAACGGCTTTGCAGTCTGGCACATTAGCCCACAGTGCCACACCAGGAAGACTTTACAGAATAAGTTAGAAATAATTCCACAGATGTGGGGGAGGTATGACAAAGTGTCTTTTTCTGACATAAACACTTAGGCTAGACCTAGGGAGCGACACAGAGTGTGAGTAGCTTTGGAAAAGACCACGGAGGATGTTCTAAGATTATCAGCACAGGAAGGTGTGTGATGGTAGACCAAGAATAATAACATCAATCTTCTCAATCTTTCCTGCTGCGGTACCATGGGATAAGCACTCAACCCAAAGGTTGGTTTGAAGCACAAGCTTGGCGGTTTAAACCCATCAGCTGAACCTTGTAGACAGGATCGCTATGAGTTGAAACTGCACTTAACAGCAAGAGAAACCTTTATTTGGTAAATACTGTCAAACACCTGGCACAAAATGAAACCCACTTCCTCTAGATAAAAGTATCAATCATTAACCTCTTTCCTAAATTCATCAGAATTATATACGTATGAGTTTACGTGCTTATTGTCTGCATACAAGCTCCGCGATACCCTTTTGTCCTTTGGAAAGTCCAAGGGCCCCGCAGAGCTCCTGAAACATGAGTGCTCAGTAAATATTTATATACGAATGGTCTAATGACAGAATCCAAAGAATGTCATTTTATTCATGCCCAAATCACATGAATTTGTCATGATATATCATCAAATTAGCACCCAAAATATAGAACCAAGCTTTCTCCTTGTTATCAGGTAAACTAGTAGCCCACTCCCATCCTAACTGCTGACACAGTTCCAAGTGTATATCGTATACAAATGAATGTATGTTCAATACTACATACTCATTTGTATATACAGTTATCACTCCTTATCTAAAGTTCATGACACTGACTTGCTACTAATAATGGCTAATGATAGTCTTCAAAATGCTCAGAGGCAAAAGTTATTTCCTAGGGATCCTCATTAGAAAAAATTTGAAAAAATTAATACTGACACTAAGGCAAGGTCAAACACAAAGGTTTGCCAACAGATGTATTGCCTGGAGAGTGATTATAAATAAGTCTGCTGAACATAGTGTAAATATTTAAAACCACATAAAGAAAGTTGCATTGCAGTCATTTTATGGCTTAGGTTAGTTTTCCTTGTGATACTCATATGTTCACTTTCCCACACTCACCAGTGAGAGATTTACAATGTGAAACGTGTTTTGACAGGGGCGTTACAAGAGCTCACGCCCACTGCCTAGTGTTAGCTCTCATGGTGAGTGGCTTAGGTCGGATGTGGGAGCTGACCTAACTGGTCTATCGTGGCTGCAAGCAGAATAAACTGCTGGGAAACATGCTTGCACTTGCATTGGGCATGAAACAGCACAGAGTTGGAAATAATGATTTCTGTTTACCAGCCTGTCTTGATCGACTGAGAATGCCTAGATTAAAACAACAACAACAACAAAAAACATACTGGATGTGACTTTTGTGGAAAATCAAGTACTAAAATTAAGCGATCTTATTATCCTACACAAGAGAGTTTAATTTTCAAAAATACCTTCATTGACAGGTGATTTTACTTTAAAATTTTAAGGATCTTTTGTTGGTTTATATATCTAGCTTCCAAATTACTGGACTGCTCTCTAAAATGAGACTATCGCTACCGGGTTATATTCAGATGAAATAGAAGATATGAAAAATCCAGATACTGACCTCTTCACTCTTCAGACTAGAGAAAATACTAGTGTCCTAAGACTCAAGCTTCAAGCTCAGATTCCATTAACAAAGCACACAACACTTAGGAAATCAGTCAGTGTTCATTTCTTAGCTCTTAACCTGGGTTTAAACAAGTGTTAATGACTTCTGAATCATTGCTACTATCTTCTGTACTATAAAAGAAAATATTTTAATACAAGCATTGAAACTCCAGGATCATCACACTTACCTGTATGGCTTATCAGAGTTATGGATTCGTCTGTGGTTTCTGACACCAACATATGTTGTGCTTGTATAATCACACACATCACATCTATACTGTTTCTGGACTGAAGACTTATTCCCTAGACAAGGTATTTCAGAGTTTTAGCGGCAAGCTTTGGTAAGATTCAAATGACAGCATTTACATTCCATTGTAAATGAACACTTAGACCACACAGTATTGACACTTCACTCAAGCCTTCACACTGCTGACAGTTAACAAGTCTGAATGTGGGCTTATAGCTTTTCCTGCACCTGGACTACCAGCAGATATAAACACAACACTATCGGATTTGTAAACATAAATTGGTTGGGTTGGTTTCTGCAGAACCTTGGACAAAATTAAAAAAAACATAATGAATGTTGCCCTAGCTATTCTGTTATGTACTATCTAATTTAACCAGATACACTGTTGATTTGAAAGGTCTTAAGGTGTTTAATCAATATTGAATATATATATATACATACACACACACATACATATATATATGTATGACTGATTTGCCAACAAGCTGTAATTTAATACCATAATCCAGTATTACAAAGTTGACTACAAATCATATATAACAAGTTCAATATAAAAAGCCTCAAGCTTTTTCACCCTGTGGGTTTCCTTTGTTTATAATTAAATGTCAGCTTACCAATGGAAGGAAAAATCAACTGCAAATTAAGTACTATCTAATGTAGTATGATTACATCTAATAAACTGACAGGTAACAAGGGCAAAGGTCATGTGAATGTGAGTATATAGCTCTCTGAAATCCAGGAAACAAGGATCTAGCGGAAACAGTCCTTGCTACTAACGTCACTCTGCAGCAATAAGTCTGGAAAATTCAAGCAGGGAAAGGTTGCGATGATTTAGTTTGAATGACTTGATCATATGAAACCTTTTCCTAAAGACATTCAAAACTTTATTTACTTTATTTACACTTCTGCCAGCAAAAAGTCCAGGGGCTGTTCACAACCTGACAGCTTTATATTCAAAAAACAAAGCTAGCAAGGCAGCTAGGAATTAGGCAGAACAGGGAGGAGAGCTGCGTGCCTCAGGCAGAAAGCAAGTTTAGGAAGGCTCCGAGAATACAAGTAAAATTGGTGGTATGAAAGAAAACCCACACTGAAATTTCAACGAAACAAAGAAAAGACTCCAGTTAAATTTAAGCTTTCTAAAATTGAAATTTCCTTCTGCTAATAACTACTGCCAGGCTGAACAAAATGTCCTAATTTCCTGGCATAAATCTAAACGTTAATACACACACTAATCATAATTATAATCTAAGTATTGCTCTTAATCGGTAGGTTAAAAACTTGGACTCAGTTATAAGTGGCACTGTCCCAATTAAAATTTTTAAAAACTCTGAAAAAAAAAAACAAGTGTGAAATATTGGATAATGGTTTTGTGTGAGAAATATTACAGATCAATGACAACTAATAAAAATGACAGATGGAAAACCTTAATATAGCACAGAATGAGAGCCTGTGCTACTTCAAGCAACTGTTTCCAATGGAAAGAATATTGAATTTGAAGTTCAAACACGTGGGTTTAGTCCTTGTTCTGCTACTTAGTACCAGCGTGAACATGGGCAATTCCTCTGACTGCTTGAGGTCTGTTTCCTCAGCTGTAAAACAGAAGGGCCAGAACCTCATACAGCAGTTTAGGAAGTCCAGGGGATCCTGAACTTTCTACTTTGCCATGGTCTCAACATTCCCCGAGTGTTTGTCTGAAGTCTCTGTCCTATCACTAGTTTACAGATTCCCGGTGGGGGCAGGATCTGTCTGTTTTGCTTTAACACAGCTTGGCAGATTGTAAGTTTCCATTCAAGAACAATGGACTAAGTAGTAGATGGAAGTGCTCTGCCTATCTGTGGTGTTTGCTGACAGTTCTTTCTTCTTCTTCACTATGCTGGCTTGACTTTATCAAGGGAAGCATTCCTAGCACAAGACAGGCACTCCCTGCCTTTTGGTTGAACTAACATCTCAAGTTTACTTACACTGGACACAGTGCAACTAACACTTTACTAAACGTTTAAAGGCATTTTAACAACCAGGAATTATTTTTACCTTGTGTGCCCAAAATGGTGTGTGTGTGTGGTTTTTTTTTGGCCCAACAACTAGATTCTGAAATACATAACACTGAATTAACAAAGTACCAGTGCTTTATTGGAGGGGCCTTGGTACTTGATCCTGGGCAAAGGACAAGCAGTTAGAATGCACACAGAGGCACCCTGAAAGACAGCCCTTGGAAACACTATGGAGGTCTACTCTGTACATGAGGGTGCCATAAGTTAGCACTGAGTCCATGGCATCTAAGGATCATTTTATTTTGAATAAGTATGCAAGAAGATATCAGTCACCTGAATTGTTATTATTACTAAGAAAGAGAAAAGCAAATGGAGCCAAGTGAGGGTGAGAGAAAGAAATGAGGAAATGTGCCCAGCAATTTAAAATCTCTACAATCAGTTCTAAGAAAAAGAACATGATCTATAAAGAAAAAGAAACTGCAAACGGAATATGGTGGACAGATACTGAAAAGTCAGGACTGGTTATTTTTATTTTGAGCTGGCGTTTTTAATGAAAATGTGAGCTACAATGAAGAGTTTTAATCTGTTTGAAAAGACTGCTTTTTAAGATCATGCTAATGGATCCTGGTGTGGCGCTGCAGAATCAACACTGAACTGCCAACCACAGGGCTCCTCGAAAACCCTACACACGGTGGCTGAGTCGGACCCCACTGAACGGCACTTAACAAGCTATATTCCAACCCTGTCTATCTGCAGGTGGCGCCACCGAGTAGTACTGCCTTTCTTCAGGGATTTACGGTTCAATCATATCAAATGTTTTGTTGTCTCCTTTAAAGGGGATGTGGAAACATATGAATTAAAATAAAAGGAGGCATTTAGGGCTATTTTGTAAAAAGGAAACCAAACTGTTTTAACTCAGTCATCTATCGCAGAAACAGATGCTATGTCATAAACTCCTTTTGTTGTAGAGAGCTTCATAGGGACGACATCTGTTTGACAAGGGAATTTTGGTGCTACAGTGGTGTCAAAATCAGTTCTTTCAGAAACATTATAGAATTAGTTATGCTTTCCAGGGTATAATTTAATGAAACATTATGGTAAAACATTTAACTCTGAAGTCATTTCTAACTAATTCTAAGGAAATCTAAATAGGAAAGTCACCCCAATATGTTTTATTTCCTATAAACACTATGTACTGCAATTGAGACATGTAAAGTATGTCAATTTCAGTGAGCTGATATAAGAAAGCACAGCGATTATGCTTTATCCCTAATGCTTCAGATATGGCACCTGCCTTTTCAGGGAACACTAATGAAAACTTTTCCTTCTGATATTCCTATTACCAGAAACTCACTAACTGGTATGTAACTAGTAAATAAAAAAATCTTATGCGTCTGTGATTTAAATAATGCAAATGAAATCTGGTAGTCATACTAGGGTAGGATTACAATAGGATCTAAAGATGACACACAGGAATAAGTATTTGAAGTGGGGGCCTACCATCTGCAAAAGCACTGTATTTAACAGGTCACCTGGTATTCAGGGAGGGAGAGGAAGCTTTCTTTCTACGCTGCAGCGGTTCTGGCTTCCTCGTTAAGCTACCTTCTAAGCAGTTATGTTGTAGTTTGCCTCTTAAGAGACTGTTCAACTGCAGTATCTACCCGACATACCTGAAAGTGAGCACTTACTAACCCAGTATACTGATTACCAGGGATCTAGTCATAGTTACTTGATTTAATACTTGGGATTTGCTCAGGAACTGGGATAAGACGCACTGATACCCATAGTATAAAAATAGCTGTAATTCTGAAAATAACCCACCTTAGCAATTTAGGGCATTTTTAACTTCATATGCCAGTCAGTACAGCCTGCAATTAAATAAAAAAAAAAAGAAAGAAACAGAAGATGCACTGATACCTTCCTGAACACATTTTCCTTCTGTTGGATCATTGGAAAGGCTTGGCTCATTAGAAGTTGCTACTGACAAGGTATCTGGAAGACTGTGTTGCTCTCTCTCATGATTCCTCAGTTGACTCTGAAAAATTGAGAGCAATTAAATGTAATTTTCAATAAATACCCCTGCCCAATTATTAGGTGGCTGTAAGTTGTTGTTAAGTGCTGTCCAGTCGGTTCCAACCCACAGCGACCCGTATAGAGTTTCTGAGGAGTGGCTGGTAAGCTTGAACCACCGACCCCGAGGTTCAAACCAACTATGCAGTCCAGCGCAATAACCCACAGTGCCACACCAGGAGGTATATAGAGAATATAACTGCTTTCATGGCCTAGTATCTCAAACACATAGCTGTGACTATTACGTGCCATCAAGTCGATTCTGACTCATAGCAACTCTTCGTACAAGAGAACTAAACACTGCTCAGTCCTGTGCCATACTCACAATTGCTCTGTTTGAGCTCGCTGTTGCAGACAATCTAGCCTATTGAGGGGCTTCTTTTTTCCAAAGACCCTCTATTTTACTAAGCTTGATGCCCTTCTTCAAAGGCTGGTCCCTCCTGATAACATGTCCAAAGTATTTAAGATGACATCTTGCCATCTTTGCATCTAAGCATTTTGGCTGTACTTCTTCCAAGATAGAGTTGTTTGTTCTTCTGGAAGATTACCAGTATTTTAAAATAAAATCTCCTATAACATTGACATATTTGACAGTATATAGAATGAAAGACACTATAGAAACCACAGTCTCATCAAAACTATGTTAAAGCTTAAATTCAAAATACTTGGTTTGACTGTCACAACTGTAAAGGTAGAAGTTTTGAAATAAAAAGGTGGGCGTAGTTAATCTTACAGTCCAGGAACAGAGGAACTTAGGGACCATCAAGGAAGAAGAGCATGAGCAGAATGTGGGACCCTATTCAGAGAAGCAGAGATACCAGAGATGGAGGCAGAGATGATAACATGGGCAGAGAGCAACTGAGGACTCTAGACTCATGGAAAGAGAAAGACTGAGTGCTGGCAGCCAGGAGGCAGGCTTGAGAATATGCCCTTTGGTTGTTGTTTATATTATTATATATTCTTGAGTGTTTCTGTGTACATCTCCCCAAAAAACAACAACAAAAACTTAGAATAGAAGCAAATACTGTTGAATGATGATGCATGGAGATTGTAATCATTGCAATGAAATGATGGTGTAAAACGGATGGTTCTCTCATGTAAACCATTACTCAATTCACAATTAAAAAACATCAAGTACTTGGTTTCTGTAAGGCTGTGGTTTACAAAGGAAGCCTTAATTGCAATTTGAGTCATTTTGTGTTCAGCCTCTACTTGAGTGCTTTCTGACCATTAAACAGCAATGTGCTGGTCTAGCCCTCAGGGAACTTGCCTGAGCAGGACATGAATGATTTACAGCTGCATGCCATCTAAAGTTTGGGGTGCTGGCAGGTATGACTTCGAGCCACCTGGTCATGAATCACATCCAAACCACCATGTGGGCAAGTGGTCACAGCCCCAGAATCAGTCCTGAAAGCCTTGCTAACAACCTGCAATTGTGTATGCTTCTCAACATGGTCTTTTCCATGCTTTCTCATCCTTTCTGCAACAGACACACTAATCTGCCATCACTCTTGTGATGATTTCTTTTGTTGCCCATTGTCTCTAACTTTGTGAACTCTTTGGACACCCTTATAGGCCCATGCTAATGTGTAAGGCTTAAAAAAACGGTCTCTACAAAATAGGTCTGAATTTGGGGCCATTTCCTCCCTAGAGCAATTTGGCGTAATCAGCAGGATCCACAGTTATCTTTCCATTCCAGCAGGAGCCCCACAGGTCCAGAACAGAACTGGCACCAAAGAAGGGGAATACTTTGCCCACTGTAGTCCCTTGACCGTTGTGAATCCACACCAAGCACTCTTGGATTCTGAGCCCTGTATTTCGGTGTAGCTCTTATGAGATCCTTTATCAAGCTGAAGTGTGTGGGGGCTTTTTTTTTTTTTTTTTTCCATCTGAGAACTCTTCAGTTTTTCCTCTTTACCAGCAATAGTTATACCCAGGTACTGTTAGAAATGCCGTTGATGATCTTTAAAGGAATCAAGGGAAAATAGCAGTTGAACTTGAGGAAAATGGAAACTGGATTATAAAACACAGCCCTCACATGTCTCAAGATTGTTTTTTTTTTTTTTTAGCACCTACAGGAGTCTTTGTATCAACAAATTTGTAAATTTCAGGAGGAACTCCATTGCTGACCTCTGGCCTTTCCAGTTTTCCTTTGCTGTTTCTACCTTCCCCAAGAGCCTCCTTTACTTCCACTGGGGGCAGTGGGGTGGGGTACTAATTCTCTCTTACAAGGGTTGTTTGGTTCTCTGCTGGTTAGATTCCCTTCAGCACAAGATCCTGTGTAAATTACAGTACTAAACATTTTTGAGTCTGTGGCATCTTGAGTTTCATAAGCCACAGAACAAAGAGCATGGACAAGAAAAGTCTGTTGGGTAGTTGCCTATAAAAAATGATGGCTGAGAACTCACATGTCAGGATAAGCCAGTACAACTCCAGGCTCTCATGATTTAAGCAACACACTGTCCAAAATCTAGGAACTTCCCCATCAGAATTTTACTGAACTTAAACTTGGAGCAAACTCAAATTTCTCTGAAACTGACAGACACCGTATCTCAGGGCTATGAGTCCTATCAGATATTTATTAAAGCACAGGCTCAGCCACTTGTTTGTACCTATCTGCTTGGCAGTCTCATGAAAAAGTCTAGAAAAATGAATGTGGCTAATTAGGAAATCCTCTGTGCAGTTAGTTGATTAGAATATCAGATCAACTCTCCACTAGGAATTTTATTTGACCCTCAGACACCGAGGTTTCATTCTAATTCTTAACTGTCTTGGTAAGTAAGCCTGGATTTTTTCCCACTTAGAAGGAGCTCTGGTAGCATAGTGGTTACAAATCGGGTTGCGAACCTTAAGGTCAGCAGTTCAAGACTACCAGCTGTTCTGCAGGAGAAAGATGAGGCTTTCTGCTCCCGTAAAGATTTACAGCCTTGAAAACCCTGTACAGGGTCGTAACCGACTCCATGGCATATAACCACCACCACTAGCAGGGCATTGGTTTTGGGTTTATGTTCTTAACTAAATATTGTTGCTGTTGTTAAGTGCTGTTGAGTCAGTTCTGACCCACAGCAATTGTATAGGGTTTCTGAGGAGCAGCTGGTGAGCTTTAACTGCCGACCTTGCAGATCAAACCGATTTAGCAGTACAGAGAATTAACCCCTAACGTCACATCAGGAGTCCTGACTGAATATATATTAGTACTAACTTTGGAGGCCTGGTGCGGCACTGTCGGTTAATGCGCTGGATTGCAGTCAGTTTGAACCACAAGGTTAGTGGTTCAAACTCACCAGCCACTCTTCGGAAACCCTATTAGGGTTGCTATGGGGCAGAACTGACTCAACAGTACTTAACAACATCAACAATTTAAAATTCTTGTGCTCACTTTTTGAGAAAATAAATGTGCACTTGTGCCTTTTCTTTTCTCTGAAAAACTTGTTTAATGTCATGTTAAGGAGTTTTTTGTTTTCATCTGTCCTGTTTGCAAACACTGGCCTGCTCTCTGAAGAAATTTATCCAAATTTCCATTTTTGTCTAGACTTGTCCCCACACTCATGAGGGGGTGCTAAAAGGAAAATCAGTCTTTTGACCAAATTTCTGAGAAACCAAATATACTGCTTCACTGTTGCAAAGTGTTGCCATCTGACTTCTTGAGTATGTTTGGTGAAGTCACCAAACCTTCCAGAAATTCCCAAGGGAAATGGGAAAAAGTTCCCAGGCTGTTTTGTGAGTTTTACAAGGGGAACAGGTAGTTCCTGGCCTGCTATGCAGAAACTTTGAAACACATGCTGGTCTTTGGTAAGATGGAAAACATCATCTTTAAAGATTAGGGGAACCTCTACTCATGCAGTAGATGCTGAGATGTGATTGCCAGAAAGTCTTTCGAAATGCAGTGTCCATATCTGAGGCATGTGTTCTCAGAAGAATATGAGGAAGCCCTTTGATAATTTTAAGATAGGTTAACTTAACTCAAACAGCTTGAAAATATGTAACTTCTTGTATGTACGTGGCCATGTTTTAGGTTGTACTGTCTTGCAAAACAGAAAAGTTTCTGGGAAAACGTAGGCAGAGGCCTTTGTTATTCTTCAGCTGACTTGAGAATGGGATCCTCACCCAAGATGGTGTCCACTTGGACAAAATCTGTGATGCATCACCTACCTCGGGCAGTGGATGAGATTTGGCATTATGGTTTTTCATTTTAATCTTGAGAGAACAATCCAGATTTCCTTTTTCCATCCATGAGGTTGCTCTAAGCTTAAGGTGAAAATAAAGCTGCTACATGTAACTGTCCTATAAATTAGTCGATTCATTGGAAAATGTGCACTGCGGGAAAAATGATTTTGAATGGCAAAAGAAGGACTTAAAAAAGTTAAGAAAATGTAATTTTATCTCCCGATGGTATTATTAAATAATATGTATTTTATTCAAGGAATTCAACATAATTTAGTTTAATGACAAACTAGGGGCTTTTGAATTAAATAGTTTTGATAATATAAAGAATTAACTAGATAAATATATTTTGACAAAGGTTTTTGTGTTTATAACCTTGAATGAAAAATCTTTCCAAGTAGCTTTAATTAGATCATACAGAGTATATTTCATTTAAGGAAAAAAGCTGATTTTTAATGTGAAACTAGTACTTCCAGGGGTATAGTATAAGCCTTGCTGTTAAGACTTGCTTCTGACTCATAGTGACCCTGTTTCCAAAGCTTTAAATGTTCTTAGGACCACAAAGCCTCATATTTCTAGGGGCAGGAAAACAGCCTTGGGGTGTGGTGCTGTAGGATAAAGCATTGGACCGCAAGATCGGTTTGAACCACAAGGCTGGCAGTTCAAACTCACCAGCTGCTCCTCGGAAACCCTATACAAGGTTGCCATGAGTTGGAGCCTATTTGAGGGCACTCAACAACAGTAGTCATGAAATTCACAGACCTGGAGTTAGAAAATCAAAAGGGGAAAACATGCGCATTT